ACAGCACTTTGTGAACCTCCATGCGCAGATTTCGTGGCAGGCGCAGCACTTTGTGAACCTCGATGCGCAGATTTCGTGGCAGGCGCAGCACTTTGTGAACCTCGAGGTGCAGATTTTGCGGCAGGCACAGCACCTTCTGAACCTCCACGCGCAGATTTCGTGGCAGGCACAGAACTTTGTGCAGATTTCGTGGCAGGCGCAGCACTATGTGAACCTCCATGCGCAGAGTTTGTGGCAAGCACAGCACTTTGTGAACCTCCATGCGGCACAGCACTTTGCGAACCTCCATGTGCAGAATTCGTGGCAGACGCCGCACTTTGTGAACCTCGAGGTGCAGATTTCGTGGCAGGCACAGCACTTTGTGAACCTCCATGTGCAGATTTCATGGCAGGCGCAGCACTTTGTGAACCTCCATGTGCAGATTTTGTGGCAGGTGCAGCACTTTGTGAACCTCCAGGTGCAGATTTCGTGGCAGGCACAGCACTTGGTGAACATCCATGTGTAGATTTCGTGGCAGGCGCAGCACTTTGTGAACCTCCATGTGCAGATTTCGTGGCAGGCACAGTATCTGGCGACTTTGTAGTACAACTTTAGTATGCGGAGTATATGGGGAGCTGGAAGATGAAAACTGGCGACTTTGTAGTGCAACTTTTAGTACGCGGAGCAATCTGGCGAGCTGGAAGCTGAGAACTGGCGAGTTTGTAGTGTAACTTTAGGTGGAGCTGGAAGCTGGGAAGTGGCGACTTTCTAGTACAACTTTAGTACACGGAGTATCTGGGGAGCTGGAAGATGAGAACTGGCGACTTTGTAGTACAACTTTAGTACGCGGAGTATCTGGGGAGCTGGAAGATGAGAACTGGCGACTTTTTAGTACAACTTTAGCACGCGGAGCAATCTGTGGAGCTGGAAGCTGAGAACTGGCGACTTTGTAGTGCAACTTTAGTACGCGGAGTATCTGGGGAGCTGGAAGATGAGAACTGGCGACTTTGTAGTACAACTTTAGTACGCGGAGCCTCTCGGGAGCTGGAAGATGAGAACTGGCGACTTTGTAGTACAACTTTAGTACGCGGAGCAATCTGTGGAGCTGGAAGCTGAGAACTGGCGACTTGGTAGCACAACTTTAGTATGCGGCTGAGTCATCTCTCGCGGCTGCTCTGGCGCCCCTGCAGCTGAGTCATGTCTCCCGACCACCCGGCTCTCTTGAGAGGTTGACAAATTTTAGCTACTTTGCTTACTCAAAAGTGGTCACTTCGATTACTTTCTGGAGACCTCAAAACACGTGTTTTGAGAGGTTGACAAATTTGAGCTAATTAGCTTCGTGTCTAGACAAGCTATCGCATCATAGTTAACGTCTAGCTCCAGTTAGCTTTAGTGGAGCTAGAGCTAGAGCTATGCTTCACTCATCACTCATCACTCATGCGTCTGACTGAGGGACACGCATGGTGGAAAGAACCGGGACACTCCTATAGCTTGATTTTTTCTTATAGGAAACTTCCGCCGCGGCGGGCTTGCCCGGGAACTGCTTGTAGTATGGCCAGGAACCCCTAGTAGCGTCCTTGCTCCTAGTAGGGATGCCAGGAGCCCCTAGTCGCTTCTTGTTCCTAGTTGTCTTCTCTCATGGTTGCAGTGCGTGTCGTGTACGAAGGCCCAGCAGCCACAAGCAACCCCGATGCGATACTGCTGCATCGTGAGAAAAATCAGCGTCCCATGTCTCACCAACGGAGTGCTCAAAACAAAAGGAAAACACAACGATACACAAAGTGCATCGTTGTGAGCCGTAGGTGCATCTCTCTGTTCTTACAAGCAGCTTGAAGCTTTAGGCCTTCACAGTCGTGCAGATGGAAGAAAGGAGCCAGGTCTAATGCTTCACACCTCGTCTGGGCTTCCCAGCTGAAGGACGCAATGGAGCTGGAATATCCAGTACTTGGATTCCAGGTCCACCCTGGCGAGTCATGGTGGAACACACACATTGCATACAGAGGGCAATCATACTTTCGTCTTGTTCCTTTTCTTCTACAGTGCAGAAGGCCCTTTCATGAAGCAACGGACGCCAAAAGAAAGTTTCGGGAAAGTCAGATGTCTAAGCCGGCTCCTCTTCCGCACAGTTTATTCGGAGGACACTTGCCTCGATGCATGGCTTCTTCTTTTCAGGTGGAAACTCGAAACCTGAGACTCCAGCTTTCGTCTCGTAAACTTTGGGCGGCCTGTAGACAGAGCTGCTGCGCAATCACAGTGAGACTGTCTATTTTGATAAACCCTAAACCCTAAACCCCTTTTCACATCTCAACTTCTGTCGATGTCGATCTGTCGAGGTAGCATCCATGGCCTGGACTTTCTTCGACCTGAGCTCCAAGGGAGACATCTCAAGGATTGTCGACGCGATCGAGGCGATGGAGGTGATAGAATTCATGCAAGGCTTGCCCTTGTCGAGCCTTGCTTCTTTCCTTGTTGACCCTCTCCGGCAAGTTCGTCTTCCAACCTGCGGAAGAAAACCATCAAGGACTTCCTCTAGTTGGCCAAACGAAGGCTGAAAGTGTGGAGAGACGCAGAAACTCGTAGAAAACGTGCAATATGGACATGTATGGGCATACATTTGTTGCAAGCTTGGAAATAGATCCGTCTTCGACCCGTTGTCACCTTCTGCGAGGCTGCATGGAGACCACTGCAGTGGCTATGGAGCTCTTGTCGCCTGAGGCAAATGCATTCCCAAATGGCCCAATCTTCGCTGGTGAGTTTACCTGTATGTACATCTCAATGACGCCCAGTCTCAACAAACTGTGCATCCCTTCATATGAAACAATCGCAGAAACGAGCAAAACGGTCAGTCCAGAATTTTTGACACAGACTTACTGTGCTTACTGGTCCCTGCAAAAGAAACTTAAACACAAAGCCATACAACGTCACAATATCAAACGTAATATCAGACGTTGGAGTGCACAACAAAAGATTTGGAGGCTGGTGCTGTTGATCGCGAAGCTCGCATAGTTCACAGGGCTTCCTCTCACTAGGACTTGGTTCACCTTCTTGGCCATTGCAACAACAATGCTGATTGACGCGTTAGGATTCACAACAAGACCTTGGGCAATCCCCATGATCCCCCTTGCTTTTTGCTGGCAAGCGTGTGTGCTTTTCTAGCGGAAATGGTTGGATCGATCGACCTAAACGGATCGAGGACTGGAGCCTAGGGTGGAAGCAGTGGAAAGATTGGAGAAGCCATTTCATTGTCATTCCTTTGGAGCCTTGCTTTCACCATTATAGACCTCCAAAGAAAAGAAGACTACCGGGTAAAATGATGCAATCATTGCAAAGTTAGCAATGCACCAACCTTTTCACAGCCCGCTCAGAAGCGTCTGCTTTTCAGCTGCTCTGCTCAACCACCATTGCCTCAAAGACCGACCATTGCAATGGGAAAGATTGCACAGTTCACTGGCACAAACTTTCAACCGACCTTCTTCTGGCACGGAAATGGGCCCAACACATCTCTCATCAGAGTATGTTTCATTGGCCGAGAGTGGACTTGAGATGTTTGGTATCAATCCCTCTGAGCCAGGCGCACTCCATCACGTTTTGAGATCCTGCTCTCCGTGTGCAAAGTTACAGTTCTCTCGGGCGCATTGGCCCTTCTGCCAAAATGCGCACATCCGGGTCTTGTAGCCAGAGCTTCCAGGTCCAGGTCCTTCAGGGGGATCTGTGATTGTTCAATCAGAAGCGGGTACCAGCTCTTTGAGAAAGCTGGAAATTGCCAGAAAGGATGGTGTGGAAGATCCGCCGACCCCTGCTTAGCCCTTGCCTAAGCGGGGCGGCGCCAGGCACACCGGAGGGTGGAACGGGTGGCAGTGCAAACGAAAGCCCCAGCATGCCACGTTAAGCAGCCACCCCCGCCTTCGAAGCCCTACTGCGTCGGCATCACTCCTGCACTGGCCAAACAAAGGCCGCAGCTTGGCTCAGAAAGCTTTTTCTCTGGGCTTCCGAAGGCAACGTTAGACACCCACGGGCCCCGCCCGCAAGCGTCCCTGCAGGCCGCAGCTTGGCCCAGAAAGCTTTTTCTATGGGCTTCCGAAGGCGACGTTAGACACCCACGGGCCCCGCCCTCAAACGCTCCTCGGCAGCCGGCAGGCCTGCCGCGGCCTCTCTGTG